TGTTGCAATTTACGTTAGTAATAATTGGAGTAAATCAACCGTTGTCATCTACGAATACTCAACGGATAAAATCAGTTGTCACGTCATCGAATGTAAGCCCCGTTTTTTGAATGGGTTTCATTCCATACTTTTTGGAAACTGTTACCTGTCACCAACAATATCAATGGCTAACATAAATAGCTTTTCTGACATTTTTTCTACCTCCATAATATCAAAAAACAAGTGACTCTTCATGTATATTCGTTGGTGATTTCAACAGACATGATATAACATTCCTCACCACAATGGATCTACAGAATTTGGTACCTTTTCCTACCGGGCTCAATTCACAACATGATTGTCTTTACAAACAGATCGCAATTTTTTGAAGTCCATCAACGTGCTCCTCTGAACAGTTCATTGTATCTTAAAAGAATGTCCCACTATATACAGCAAAACTAACCGATATACATTTTTAAGAAGTCCTTCCAAGATAGTGAGTCAAAGAAATTGTTCATCAGAGAACCTAGAAAGGCTAAGATCCATGATTGCCACCACAGATATTTCGGTGTTTCCCGATCAGAACCCTTCTGTCCTCTGTGAACATGTTACGGACTACCTTAATTTCTGTTTTAACCAATGTTGTCCACTAGAAACGGTCTTTATCCATGAAGCCAGATATTCATCAACGCTACTCAAGCAGCTACCCATGTTGTGAGATACTACTCACTTGTGAGTAGTTGGTAACTTTCGGTGATTAAAAATAGAACAAGACCATCAAAGACCAAGTAGTATATTTGAGAAGAATAAACGTTGCCTGCTCTACCCATTACTCTATGTATCGCGATGTGTTGAGATGGCATGCTTCTGATAAGGTTTTCGTGTTATGCATGCAAAATTAGCAACATTCAATCTGTATTCTCTCCTCGACCAGCACCGCCTTTTCGGAATATAACACCCAGGCAATAAGAACAAGCCTATACACAGGGCCAAAGAATCCATCTCAATTGGCTAAACATTTCGATCAAAGCTGAAATAAATCGATTGAACAAATGGTACACTATCCTAGTAAATTCTAGTTGGCGTGGTATGTGGAGGGCTATCAACCGATTGTGTGACAGTAGCAATAAACACAAAAAGGAAACTGTCGACGTTGAAAGACTAAATTCTGAGTTTAGTCCAGTTTCACAGTGCATTGCCCTGCCAAACTTAGTCAGCTCTATGCCAACACCAATTATCGAACTCGCCACAGTCCTAAAACAGCTACTGAAAACAAAGTTGAATAAAGCATCGGGCCCGGATGAACTATCATCCGTAGTACTCAAGTTATGTGCGGACACCCTTTCAGCCCCAATGTCTAAAGTATTCAATGACTGTCTGATAAGCGGAAAAATCCCTGATATTTGGAGAGTAGCCAAGATAACTCCCGTTCCAAAAGACGAACCTAGGAGGTATCGTCCGATCACCTGCACGTCGGTCATGCTCAAATTATTTGAGAGATGCTTGTTACCGTGGGTTGTCACTGAGTTTGAGGAAGATAACATACATCAATTTGCATATCGCTCTTGGCGCTTAACACTTGATGCCATTGTNCATTGTATACCTTGTTCATTCAATAATTTCGGCACTAGAAAAAAGTAAGACCGTCAGTATGATGTTCTTAGACTATAAAAACGCTTTCGGCAGTCTTGATCCATCAGTATTGCGCAATCTCATTACCGAAAGTGATGTTAATCCAAACCTTAGCAGATTAATCTGCGATTATTCCACAAATGGAAGGCAGTTTACGTGCCTCAACGGCACAAAGTCCTTCACTCGCCCAGTTTCTTCTGGTGTTCTTCAAGATGCAATATTTTCCCCATTTTTATTTTCAATGTATGTCAAACAATTTCCCATACCTCCTGCATTCATTGGCTGTAAATACGCAGATGACGTTGTTTTAGGTTGCAAAGCATCCATCCCTGAAGAGGCTTTAGAAATTCCAAAGCAAGCTGAACGGCGTTGTTACTTGGTTCTTGTCCCGTTCCCTCTCATTGAATACCTCTAAATGTCAGGATGTGTTTTCCCACTTGGCTGATGTACCACATTCAGCCCTCACAGATAGGTTCCCCACCCTCTCTTCCAATCAACCTTAGCGTCACCTTATCACACAATTTATCATGGCCACTGCATGTTCAAAACACGTTCTGTAAAGTTATAAAACTTTCATATTTCTCACACCAATTGAGATTACTTTCTGTTCCCCATAAGCCGATTGTTAGGTTTGTGAATGCATGCGTGCTACCCCACTGATTGTATTGCTCCCCATTGATTTTTCCCGGTATGTTAAAGAAAGACTTTTATTTACTGGCGAGGTCTCTGAAACAAATCTCTAAGTGTAGTGGCATTGTCAGGGATAAACTCGCGGATTCTATCATAGACAGACACCTACAATCATGAGAAAGTTTCACTGCCAAAATACTCTCAGACACTCACCATCCATTACACAACGAATTTTCAAAAGCTGTATCTACATCATCCACACGCTCAAGATTTAAACTTTTATTTGCACATACCTCTACTTATCGTAATGCTATTCTACGCTATCTAGCACGTCTATTTATTGGCAAGGATAAAACTTCCACAGAATTGCGCAAATGCTTGCTTCATTGACAAACACAATCTGCTGCTTTCAGTTTCATGTAATGATTTTGTAAATATGAATCGATAAATGTGGTATAAATGCTGAAAATTCACCCATCCAGGTGCATAAAGATACTACCGAAGAAAATCAAGTGCGATTACCTACGTATTTCTGACGTTGAAAGGCACACTTGACAAGATGTTTAGCATGCCTAAGCTGATGGGTGTGACTGCTGCATTCAGCTTTTCCCCTCAAAGCACTCGCCATACAGGTCAAAGACGAGTCCTTCGTCCGCAATGATAATAAATGCAGCTGTTGGTGATTATTTTGACTAAACTGGAATAAACTCCTGTAGTTGATAGTTTATACCATTTGCACTCCAACGAAGTGCAAAATGTCGACCTACCCTACCTAGTTTACGGGTTTTCCATAATCGTTTGGTTTTAACAATGCGTGAACTACCCGCCTTGATTTGCCTATAATCACCAATGGCCCTGGCAAACTATCTACTGAGGAAATGCCTCTGAAATTATTCACAAACGCAAAGCGGAAAACCAGCCTACTGTAATTGTAAAGGTGCTCTGAATTCTACGAAGTGTTTTAATCACTCGTCGCACACTTCCACACGATAGAAATTCCTGACATATCTCCCGTCCTCAAAGTGTTCGGTGATTAAAACGAAGAACTATGAAATGTATTAAAAATCAAGCATTTGGTTGCATAGCGACATTTAAGGTGTAACTGTGTTTGGTTGCTAGGTCATTGATGACAGCCAGCCCATTCATCCAAGTTCACCTCACGAACTCCAACTGAATAAATATTGTTATTTAAATAGACCCGTGATACGCGTAATAAAGAGTACATCGCTCGGATTGCTCCGTAAAAACAAAACTCGTCCCTGGTCGTAGTTACTGTGGTCAGCTTTGGTTATTGAGCTGTCGTCAATGTTAGACCAACTACGACCAGTTGTACTCTAGCTGTAGTGCGCACGAAACAGTGCGTCACCGTTCATGCTTATCGACTGGCGTCCAACTTGGTTGTCACACGCAAATAGCATGGCTTCACCGACTCGACAAGATGCACTGAGGCTTGCCTCATTTCAACACAGAAAGAGCGTCGGAAGACATGTGGCCAATCCGGGTTAAAAAAACGTGTGTTCAATTGACCAATGCGGTGCGCTGAGCGAAAGCGGATTCCACGAAAGCATTTCTTTCTCAATTCAAAGTGATACTTTCTCAGTTCAAAGTGATGACCTCTCAATTCAAAAAGACGGTTTCGCAAACCAAAATGATAGTTTCTCATGTGCAACTTAGAATGTTATAGATACACGGATTTCACTGATTCGATAGTTTATTCTGTTCTAGACGCATCACTTTTTTTAAACCCTCAAAATCGTCTCTTGTGGCGTCATTTCTTCTGGTTTGTCAAGACCTGCTCGCAACCGGGCGGTAACGCGCTGGCAAATGGTCATAGCTGTTGCAGACTTATGTGCTTGTAGTGTTTACTTCAAATTCCTTCCCACCTGGCTTTCGTTTACTCGGGTACTTCAGTTGGTCTGCACAAACATACTCCACGGAAATTGCATTTCAAGTGACTGTTGGTCTTGCGAAAATAGTTTAGTGCTTACTGTTACCATAGCAACGAAAAAATATCGGAAGAAAGTCTGAATGTTGATAGAGCGTAGGCCTGTTTCCCAGCGTGAGCGACTCGTAATGGCTTTGTCTACACGAACAGTGGATCTGTGTAACAAAAGCGTTTACCACCAACATCCCGATAAGACTAATTTCCTTGTTATAAAGAGTGTTTTACGGCCCTTAGTTTGACGCGGTCTAGACATAGATTAATGAGAAATATAATCACGTAATTATGGTCAACCAACAGTTGACCCTCTGTACGAAATATAGTTTGAGGTGTCTCCAGGATGAAGTTCGGTGCCAGCGTTCGTTGCGTTATTTACTATGTTTTGTAAAACATCATTTATGACAAAGTGGAAGGTTGGTAGAGTGCTTTTAGAAGTAGAACATACTTCTCGGGCACTCGGTATTTCCGTATACAGTTCCACAGTGCACGGCGATCGCTGGAGTCGAAGGCCGCTCTGATGTCCAAAACAACGACGATGGTTTGCTGTCTGTATGTGTGGTGGTGTTCTAGTAGCCGACGAGGGTTCAGTGACGTGAATGCATCCTTCCCCGTATGCGATCCCAAAACTAATCAACAAAAACTCAATGGCTTGCAGCGAGCAGACAAAATTTTTTTATTCTCTAAGTGGACGGTTGTTTTGCTCTTCCCCGTTTCTATTTCTACATTCTGCATTAAACCCATAGTTATACATATATATATATATCGTTGTGCTTTTCAGTCCTGGGGTGTCAAGCTGTTTCTGGATCAAGCCGGATTTATGGAATATCTGTTGAATCGTGGCACAGAAACCGGTTTGGTCGAGGTATCCCAACTAATGCAGGCCAAATACAATATTGTGGAAGCCCTACTCCGCACAACCGAGACGTATCGTGGATGCGATGACCAGGAACTGTCCGTGCTACTTCGACCGGAGCAGATAGCTTGCCTCCGAGTCTATGTGAAAGAAGGGATCTGGGGTAAACAGGCCTCAGAGTCCACGGTCGCCATGAAACCAGGTTGATGTACTGGTCTCTTTTCCGTCCATGTTCCCAATAATACCCACGATTGCCTTTCGTACAGATGTTATGCTTTCATTGAAAAAATAGTGTTCATGTGCAACAGTTTGAGATTCTTGGATCATTAAGTCTTGTGCATCATATAGTGTTACTCATCTACATTGAAAACTCTTGGAGCTACTCTAAGATCGTTGTATCGTTCTTAGGGATAATCGGTCGTGTGTGAATCTAAACAGCTTCCTTCGTGATCAAGTGTTGCTACTACTGTGCCGTGGCATAAAACTTTTTTCTTACTGCTGTCTATACGTTTTATAATCCGATTCTCCATTGACGTGTATACCGATGACGTGTTCTAATAAAGACACTGAACATACCAAATCACTCGCATCACAAAAAAGGGAACTTCCCACTTCTTGGAAAGGATACACAGCACAGTAACGTTACCTAACTTATATCCCGATACATTTCGCTGTATCACCTCAAGTGAATCTTGTTGGTTACTTGAAATAGTACAAGTGTTGTTACCGGTAAAATCTTTCACAATCCAAGATTCTACAAAAGCACGGACCAAATGATGAACAATGCTTTCTGCTTACACAAATTAGACTTCCGTAAGTGTACAACTATCGTTTCCGCGAACTGCAGTGGACGTGGATTGGAAGCGTGAAGAATCATTAAACGCAGTTGTTCTGTCAGAAAGATACCTCTCAAGTACGTAAGTAAGAGTCCGGTGTTTGTCTGATTAGTGGCCTTTGATCATGTGATTCTGGTTTGTTAGCGTGAGTGTCCATCCGCCGTGGGACGTGTTCAATCACTAAACCACAAAATGACGACTCACTTCTCCAAAATAATCTGATCCGCAACATTAAGAGTACCAGTTGCATTTTTTTCACGAATAAACTTGCCTGGAACTCATTATCTAAATACAGGTGTGCAATGGTGTGAATTTGGATGATGTGGGTCTGTGGTGCAAAGTTGCAAAGGCGGTGACGAATGTTTTGTTCATCAGGTAGTGTATCGAAGGTGGTGTTTATCCGAGGTCGTTTTTTAGATCGCTACGGCGTAGAAAGCTGATCCCGAACAGTCAAAATGTAAGATATACTGCGGAGACACATTTATAGACTCTCAATGTCGAAATTGTGGAACTTCGCGTCGCGCATTCACTACTAATGCCGATAGTGGATGGTCTGAACATACTTTATCGCATCAGGTTTACTGACGTTTGTTGGTCACTGATTGATAAAACGAAGATCGAGAAAGTGAATTTAGCTTCCTTGTCGAGAGAAGAAACACTGCCTTCTCAAAGAATCTGAATAAACATGTTCTTAATCTGTCAGATATGACACTATCTAGGACACACATAGAAGCATTGTCAATGGGTGTCAAATTCTGCTTTCCACCGAGAAGGAACGATCCGATCAACACGGAGACGCAATTCGAGTGTCTTTGATCAACTCAAATACCCGCAGCTTAATTCGTCTGATGCATCAAGTTAGTTCAATGCAAGACTCGTCGATCTAGCACATCAACATCAGAATACACCAGTTGCACGATCCTGGCTGCTTTCTAAGCAACATATAAAGAACTGAATTTATTAAGACGAAACCGGGATTTAGTCATTCTTCCACGTGGTGTAAGCTCTGGCGTTGTCGTGATGAAGCGGAGGGACTACGTGAGCAAAATGCTGCACATCCACTCTGACGAAGCCAAATATAAAGTCGATCGTGATCTAAACGACGCGGTGAGGAACGTAGAGCGCCGGAACTCAAAGATCTAAAACAAAAGTGATTGACCAAAGGATGCTGAACATTTCTAGCAATAGAAGCAGCTACTCCACGCATCTACGGGTTACCGAAAACACAAAAGCTAGGAACCCTAGTGAGACCGATACTGTCAATGATCAATTCATCATACCATGGACTCGCCCAGTGGTTGGCGCAAATAATTGGCTTGGTGCGATCGAGTCTATGCAAACAGCCTACGAGCACTTTTGACTTCATCACTGTTATCTCCAATATGAACGTTAAAAACGAGGTAAGGTCATCATTTGATATACATTCACTGTTTACAAATGTTCCTCTTCAGGAAGTGATTTCGATAATTCATGATCACGCAGCAGAGAACAACGTACACCTTAAAGGACCACTTCCGGAATTATGTAGATTGCTAAGTTTATGCACATCGCATGTTCAATTTGTATTCGATTGCAAACATTATAAACAAGTAGGCGGAGTGGCTATGGAAATCCCTCTAGGACTCGTATTGGCTGATATTTTCATGGGTTATCTTGAGGATGGTCGCTATGTTGACGATGTCTTCCCGATTTGTAAGTGAGCGGCGGATGAATGAAGTATTTCAACACAAACACGTTGCATACAAATATCAAATTTACGACCGGACGAGAGACAAATCGAGTTTTGCCGTCCTTAGACGTGCTCATAGAACAAATGGTCGCTGGCGAGAAGTACCTACCTTAAGAAAACTTGATCAGGGCAATACATGCATTTTAAAAGTTTTGCCTCAATAGCCTACAAACGTGGACTGGTACGTACACTGTGTAATCGAGCACGCCAAATTGCCACGAACGACAAAATTCACAAAGACAGCAATCCTCTATGAAACACCATTGGACAACGGCTATTCTGCGAAGTTCGTTGACAAGTATTCTAGACATCAGGGAGAAAAAAAACATTGCTAGGTGTTCCCCGAAAAAGTGTTTTTCTTTGTTTACCCTACAAAAGTGATAATGTGTCGATTCTCATCAAACATCGGTTCAATGCAGCAGTCAATCGAACGTACTGTGCGGCCAAGTTGGTCCTCATCGAACAGACAAATCGAGTGCCAACGCCACCGAGAAAGAATCCCAACCCCACAACCGCCAAATGAGATGTAGTATATGAATTCTCTTCTATCCGTGGCTGCAAATACGTCGGGCGTATTTTGCGGTATTTGGGAATAAGAATCTTGGAGCACATTCCAAAATGGCTAGTGGCAAACGCAACTGAAAGCGCTCGAAGCTGTATCACCGAACACATGAGGGAGACTGGCCACCGAGTGAATCCAACACGCACTCCGAGTTGTCTACCATCCAAAACAACCCTACCAGCTAAATTTCACGGAAGCCGTAAGCATACGAAGAACGAACCCGATCCTGGGCGCTCAGAAGCAGATAGTGGTCTCATTGGCTTTACCGTGGAGTTAATCCGCCCCTACCCCACACTATCCTTTACCTATCACTTCATCATTGTGACCTTTGTTTTCCTCTCCCTGCCCCAGTCACTCAAACCATCTACACATCCCCTCCGCACACACCAATTCCACCTCCCCCATTTCACACCTTTATTTAGATAACGAATGCCAACTTTTGATGCTGATAAACGTCGGCTTATTAACTTCCTGTCTTCGCATGCCCACCTGTCCCTCTCCACCTTTTATCTACTGAAACACACGTCATCCTCACCCATTTGCAAACCATTGCGGATTAAGAGTTACGCTGTCTTGTGAACAAGTTGTATGAATCTCGCCTTTGAATCTGTTGTTCACCCCATAAACATATATAACGTCCATTTGTAACTCGCATGAAGGAACCGATGTTAAGCCAAAGACATGACGCTGCAGCAGACATCTTGCGCCCTTCGATTGGCTGCGCTACGTTTGTGTTCACTGTTACAGTGGAATTTATTGCTTTGCTTCTGCCATGTTTACTCGACGTTCGTATCCCAGGGAATTATTACTACGTCTAAAGGATATTTATTATTCTTCAGTGTTATCCAACTCACATGGTTCTGCCCGAACCGGATTTGCTGCTCAAAGCAAGAAACGAAAACGTGCCGGGTGGTGGACTGCGTTCGCAAACATTACCCCCGTAAGGATGACGGTTCCGTCATTAATCAGTTCCAACATTCACTCATTGTTTAGCAAACTAGCTGAACTCACGGATCTACTAACTCATCGCGTGCACACAAACACGTATGTGATATGCATACAGGAATCGTGGCTCAACGACGACAGAGAAAGAAGCAAAAAGAAGTCCGGAGGCATCGTAATAACCTATAATAACTCCAGTTGGTGCGGCAAGTCCGAAACGTTTGTTTTCTCCTCTTATGGTATTGACTGCTTTGCTGTTTCATGTCGACTTAGGTTTTCCCCTTATCGGAGCACAATTATTACAAATCTACAAATTGCCCCTTCTTGCTCACAAACTGAAATTCGTTCCTTTTACGACGCATTTATTCATTTCATTGCTCCCTTAGTGGACGATAATTTAATTTTAATTGTTGGCGATTTTCATCACGGATCAACCCAACCTTTACTTTCTTTCGGTCAATCGGATTTATCTTTAACGCCCACCAGAGGTAATGCTATTTTGGACAAGCTTATCACTAATCACCCTAATATCTTCTCTCTCAAACTGCCAATTTCGTTTAGTGGCCACTGTCTCCCATGTCTTAGACCAGAAGTTTACTCTCGGTTGGCAAACCCCGCTTTTATTCAAACGAAACAAATAAACATGAAAATTCGGAATCTTTCAGCTGACAGACTTCATCTCTTGGTTTTCCGTTCAACAGTCTCCCTGTTCTGTTGAACATTTTACAGAAACAGCTAACGTGATTTTCAATCTATGCTGTCCTATGGAAACAGATTTTATTCACACTGGCAAAATATCCTCTCCGCGGTTAAAAGCTCTTAGAAGACAAAAAATAACTAGCGTTCAAGATACATCAAACAGCCACTGTCAAACAACTCACTACAAATCAGGGCAGAGATCAAAAGACTGAATGCTTCATTCGCAAAGCAAGTTCTGGGAGCTGGAGATGGAAGACGGCAATGGCAAGGGATTAGATTGCTTTGCGGACAGAAGAAACGGACAACGAACAAAGTTGTTGACGTGGACAGCCCCCATGCTGCATTCATTTTTCCTTCGAATGATCTCCTGTTTCCGTACTCCACAGGTCACTTATCTACCACAGACCCAGTCACCCATAAGGTCTACTACGAAAACCAC